GTGTGTATGTGTGTGTTTGTGTTTGTTTTTTTTGTTTGTTTGTTTGTTTGTTTGTGCTTGTTTGTTTGTTTGTTTGTTTGCTTGCTTGCTTGCTTGCTTGCTTGGTTGGTTGGTTGGTTGTTTGTTTGTTTGTTTGTTTGTTTGTTTGTGTGTGTGTGTGTCTGTCGTGAGTGTGCGTTCGGGAGGCTCGTCAGGAGCGACTGCGACAGCGCTATGCGCCAGGGACTTCCAGCTGCAATTGGTAGTTAAGATGGATCTTGGGGATTCCGATTGCCGTACAGACTTCTCTAACAGATTGTCCTAGATATCCTGGTGCAGTAGAAAGTTATGCTGGCGAGGGGACAGAGGTAAGTGCGAGTATCTGCCTTCCAGGCTTTCCGTGAACAGCTCTACACTGTACTGGCATGCGTCTGAGTCGTGTTGTGTGCAGGCCCCCCGGTGGTGGCAAGGGCATGGGCGGCAAGGCCTGTGATTCCGAGACCATGCCTGGCATGCTCTGGAGGGAAGCCCAGCTTTGCGATTGCTTGCACATGTTCATCGGCCGGCTGACAGGGCGAAGGCAAAGGTGGCAAGGGCGGCAACAACCCCAACATGGGAGGTGGGCAGCTGTCCACCCATGTCCATCCTAGCACAATTTTGCCAGTGCACATCGACAGCGCGTGGTCCGTGATGATCGGGATTTGGGTTGTTGCTCCACGACAGGCATGATGGGCATGATGCCGCAGCAGGCTGGGCACACGAGTCAACTACTTCATGCGTAGGAGCGGTGTGCTGACGGAGTCCGTCATATCAGGCTATGATGGGCATGATGCGCCCGCCGATGATGGGCATGATGCCACCTCAAATGATGGGCTCCTCGGCATTGAGATTCGTAGTCGGTCTGCCTCGAGGTTCAACAGCTGCCGAGCTGCCGAGCTGCCTGCTGGCACATGATTGCATGAAGGGGCTTCGATCCGAGGCAAAGGGGCACCCATGGCGAAGAGCGGTGGCCCAATGCCGGGATCCCGGCGACCCGGGGAGTTGCCACCTGACACCTGATGCCAAGATGCCTGAGGATGGGGATGATGGGCAAAGGCCGGCTCGGAGTGTGCTGTCTTGGCGCTCGAATGCCTGGTGTCCGCTTCGGACCCGGCGTAGGACTTCTATCTGTGCAGGAGGACCCATGATGATGCCCGGCAAGGGCGGCGGCCAGATGCCAATGATGCCTGCAATGCCGATGGGAATGAATCCCATGATGCCGTGCAGGGCTGAGCTAAGGCTTAAGGGCCCAGTGAGGGGAGGGTCTCAGAGATCCGACCAGGATGCGGCCGCCGATGCCCGGGAACATGATGCCTCCCGGCTCAGCACGGCAACGGGGCTGTCTGTGAGCGCAATCCTCCGAGGCCACCAAGACCTGGAGGCCCGGGAGGCAGCGGGCCGCTGCTGCTTGGCCTGACTTAGGCTTGCAGAGGCCTGCAGCCTTTTATTGGCAAGCGCCAGCCGCTCGCCGCTCAGGAACGCTGCAGCCCTGGCCAATGCTTCGCCAACTGCACGGGGCTCGTGGCTTTGCGGTTTTGTGCTTTAAAGCCTGCCGCCCTTCGAGAAGTGTCAGCTTAGAGTATGGAGACGAAGCGTTCGTGCATGCTGCTCGCCCTTGCGGTGCAGTCGCTCTTGTGCATGAAGCTCCGAGGTGCAGAAGCAGATGATCGGTGAGAAGCTGTTCCCGGCGATCTCCAAGATGCAGCCCGAGCTCGCCGGGAAGATCACAGGCATGATGCTGGAAATGGAGACTTGGCCTCGTTTCGCGCACATACTAGTAGATGGAGCCACATCTCATCTTTACACAACGTGACAATCAAGTCCGTACTTGCAGTAAAGCCCATGTCCAGGACAACAGCGAGCTTCTTATGCTGCTCGAGTCGGAGTCGCAGCTCAAGCAGAAGGCGGGCTTATAAGGCTCTCGTTCATGCGAAGCATGGGCGCTGCTCAGTCCGATGGTGTTCGGACTTGTTCTGATGCATCAGCATGCTATCGGGTTTCTTGGCTCCAGCGCGACTGCTAGTGAGGTTGACGAGGCGATGCGAGTGCTGCAGACGGCAAAGAACTGAGGCATTTGTTCAGACGGCTGATCATGTAACGCGACTGGGAAGTCTTCCTTCTGACGCAAGTTCTGTGGGACCAGGTAACGTAGCCCGACATAGCCCCAAGCCCTACAGTAAGCCCCAAACCCAAAAGCCCCTAGGCCCTAGGCCCTAGGATGATGCCAGGTTTGCCGGCCCTAGCCTTGCTGAATTCCCAAATTCCCAGTGGCTTTGACATGACTCCCTAAACCCAAGAGCGGGAAATATCGTTTAAGCTGCGTCCAGTGTACTGTGCTGTGGCAGGGTGCTCGGGTGCTCTCATGCTTTGACGGGAACATTCAGAGACGCCAGTTCTTTCACTTGTGCACCCTGTGCAGAACCTTTTGGACAAGGCTCTGAAGGTTTGGTGACCGTAATGACCGTAGTATGACTCAGTATTACGTCTCTTTATCATGAGCGTAAGCAGACACGGACTGGACTGAACCTTCCTTTTTGCTTGGTGGTGGTGGATGTTTGTGTAGGGAGTAGAGGTCTGTCCGTGGAGCAGGGCAGCCTTTCTTTCGACATCTTGCTGCGCCGGCTCAAAACTGCCCTGCTCTACTGTGCCTCCTGCAAGACTCAAGGACGTTGGGCCACGAATGCTACGGAAGTCTGGCTGATCTTCACAGAATTTCCTACTGGAAAACTGAGTAGAGCCTGGGGCACCTGGAGTTCACCTTAACAGCTTCCGATTCCCAAGTACTGCTCCAGCCAGGTCTGCCAGGTCCTTGATTACGCGTTCGCGCATCTCGCGATCTTTTAAGGGCTGAAGCGGCCGCCTTGACGAGCTCGTGCCCCGAGGTCATCGATTCGAAACCGGTCAGCGGAGATATAGACTGGTACTCGTACCAAGAACTACGATGAACAAGACCTTCACTCTAGACTCTAGATTCTAGGTCAAGCTTGTGAGGGGGCAGTGCGGGGCAGTCTCGCCCTTTGCGATTGTCTGTGCAGCGTTCGCACGCGTTTTGGAGCCAGGGGTCAACAGCTGTCAGTCGGTACTCCACTTGTTAGCTTCATTCGGCTGCTTCATTTCGATTTCATGGTCTGTTTGATGGCCGCACTACCGAAGGCATGTTGCGGAGGCCAGAATCACTAGTGTACTTTACTCTTGAAGTTAGCAAGCAATTCACTTTTTTGGTGCAAAGTTCAACGAGCTGATGATATGGAATGGATGGTTGGCGAATGCAGCATTACTGCTGGCTCCCAGATTGGTGGTTTTACAGGTCCGAGCGAGATTGGGGGCACTTGGCCAGTGCAGCTCCGAAAGACAGGGGATTTGGAGGGAAGCTTCGTAGGTAGGTTTGGCCCTGGTGGCCTTTGCAGCCACTTTGCCGCTGTGCACCCTCGCCTTGTTGGGAAGGCACGAGGAACCGTAGCCATACTGTACCGTATGAGAATGTTGGCATCCGTGCTGTCCGCTTGGCCTTCGGGCGGTCTCTCTGGAACCTCGTGACATCCCGACAGTTTCGAGCTCGCCGGACACTTTGTCCCTGTTTGGCTTGGGAAGCCATCCACATGTCCCTGGAAGCCTTGGCGAAGGTGGCAGCTGCAACCTTCATGAAGGTTGTTTTTCTTGTATCTGCGAACGAGTTCTTGGACAGAAGGCACAGAGCGACACAGCCGATTGAAGTTCAGCACTTCCCGCCTGTGGATGAGGAACGTGCAACTTGATGTCTCCAACTTCTCTGACTGTTGTTCTGTAAGTTCTGTTATGAGGGGATTGGCAAGAAGATTTTCGAACTGCCAGTGAGACGACTGTGAAGGCTCCTGTAGCAGCCATGTTCATTGCTTTTATGGCAATTTGTAGCTGTTACTGTGCCTACAATCACCTGTGTAAGTTCCAACTCTGTACTGAAGCCGCAGGGACGTTAATCGACGAAAACCATAGGCACTTGCGTGCTTATGCATAGCATGCATACCCTCCATGCACAACCTTCATGATCATGATCATCATCATCATCATCCTCATCATCATCATTGTCAGCAGCAGCATCATCATCATCATCATCTTCTTGTTGTTGTTGCTGGTGGTGGTGGTGGTGGTGGCGGTGGCTGGCGCTGTGGTAAATGTTAACCTGGATGTGGTTGTGATTGTGGCAGAAGTACTAACGCTTTCCGTCCAGTTGGGTCAGCCCTCGAGGAAAATAGGCAGAGTCCGACGTATATGGAACTTCACGACTCAGTTGAGGACCGTAAGTTTTGTTTCTCAAGACGGTTGCTAGCTACCTGTCACTGCTGTCAGCATACGTTCCTCATCCGCTGTGCTTCTCGGGGACTTTCAGCTCTCGCTTGTTGGATTTGGATGCTGATCGCTTGGGTGCTTGGAGTTGGAGATGTTGGCCCTCCGAAGGATGCCGAGCATTATTCGATACAGGCGATCAGGCTCCCAACTCACAACTGTAGCCTGGATCAGGATCGAAGCTTACAGCTGTCGGACCTGAGAGGCAGCAGTGCTTCATGTGGTAGTTGCTTTGCCGTTCTTTAACCCGTCCGTCCTCCCGATCCACTTCTCCTGATGCATCTGCTCAAGCATTCAGAGTGGGGTAGGTGAGACATCTTCTAAGTTTTGAAAGGTTCAAGGATTCGAGACCTGGTCAGGGCATGCGATAGCTTTACTGAACGGGGTTCGCATGTCGATCAGGAATGGGAGGGCGAACCAGACAATTGTTGCTGCTTTGCTCAATGCTGAATGCTGTACTTCTGATAAAGTTGTTGCAACAGCAGCTGAGATGGCCGATCGCACAGAATCGCCAGAAGCAGCTCTGGAAAAGCGGTGAGCACAGCCGTGTTTTCGACCAGTTGTGCACGAGATTGCACGAGGGTTGAGTTTAAAAAGCTGGAGCCTTTGCTGAAGGGATGCATCAGGTTCTCTTGGTTGGTTTCGGGGCCGTTCGCAAGGACCTTCGAAACCTTCACAAAGATGTGCGAGAGGTTTTGGAGGCCAGAAGCCCAGAAGTTCTTTCGATTTTGCCCCTTCTCGCAACTACTGGTACACCGGATTCAGATTCTGAGGTGCACCGAGGTTCCGGGCAAGCCCCCGGCTTTCAGGCCGCGACCCTTCCTGTGGTGCTGTAGCCATGTCGCTCCTTTTTTCACAACAAGGCCTTTTGCCGCGTTTCTGCAGGATCGGAACAAGCGGGATCTGGAAATGGCAGATATGCACAAATCCATCGCTGAAAGCTTGCAAACCGCCTGCCAGGCCTGAAGTGAAACATGTGCGATCACAGGACTTGTTGTCTACGATCTCCATGAGACCGGGAGATTCGCAGGACATTCTGCAGAAACACATGGAGCAGTATTGCCAAGGCTCGATTCGCTTCTGCAGCTTCGGAAGCATTGGGGCCGGAATTGGCACTGCCTGAAGGTGTGCAGAGGCATTCTGCCCAGAAGGCGGGTATGTCTGCAACCAAAGCTTGACAGTAATCCTGCCCAGTGGCTGTGCCAGGATGTTGCTCCTTCTCGGCAAGGCCGCGCATCTGCAACGAGCTCTTGCATTTGCGCCCCCTTCCCCACGTGTACACGAAAGGATCAACACACGCACACCACAGCACCTTTGCAGATCGGGAGGCGGTAGCCAACTGCTGCAGACGAATAACTGCTGAGGCAAGGCGACGGACAACGAGCATACCGATGATGAGGTCAGTCTACTTGACTATTGCATGCAAGAGCCCCAGACAGCCAACAAGGGTGATCATCGGATGACTAGAATTTCCTTCCCTCCCTCTCTCTCCTTCTCCCTCCCTCCCCTTTGCCTGCCTGTCGCCGGTGGCCTGCCTTGCCTGCCTGTGGGTTTGTTGAGTAGCACACTTGTGTGCGAAGTAACAACCGCGAATGGGGTAGCTGCCTTAGCACTCTGGCTCGACGCGTCTTCGACGTCTAATCTTTTCAGATAGATCCTCCCGTGCTTTTCGGCGATCATGTCCTCTTCCTCCATCGACGCCTCGACGGTGGCGCAGCAGCTGGTCAACGCTTTGGCGGCGGCTCGGCGCATGGGGTATGCGCCTGCATGCGGTGGGGCTGCTGACGACGGATCAAGTCTCTGACCTCAACGACGCCGACGCCGCTACATGAGGGTCGTACCGACGAGGCGGCGGAGGTGATCCATGAGTTCCAGTCCTTCACTGTCGACGTGACGCCGCCACCCTCGGTGACCAGCGCGGTGCTGGCGTCGGCGGATGGAGGTACTGGTGGGCTCGCCGACATTCCGGAGGACGGCGAGGAGTTCGAAGACGACGCGGGCCGCACACCTGGGGGAGGGACTTTGCCGCCCTATGGCTACGGCGCCGGTTCCCCGTGTCCCAGATCGGTGCTTCGACGCCGTGGTGGGCCAGCTGACTGTTTCATTCCGGCGGCCACCAATCGCCAAGGCCGCAGCCTTGGTGGCGGCGAGGGCCAATAATCCCTAGGAAGTCGCGGCGCTCACCTCTATGCCCGCATCAGGTGCCGCGACGCATCCAGAACGGCGCGGAGGACGGCGCCAAGCCCCCAGTACATTGTTGCGGTGTTCACTGCCCCTTTGGCAACGAGGCCTGCGTGGCCAGGATTGCGGCGGCCACATCCACGACGAGCTTCCCAGCCACAGAAGGGCCGGCATGATCTTCGCGGCGTACTATGCCTACAAAGTCGCCCCGCGGCGCTTTGCGTGGAGAGCGGCGCTTCTCCTCCTCCGCGCGGCACCGAGACAGAGACCGAGTGTATCCCTTCATCCGACGCCTCTTGGCGGGGGTTGCCGGCGCCAGGATTACCGTCCGACATTCCCGCGGGAGCTGGCGCATCGTCGGTAGGTGTGCGCACCCCTGCACGGTCCCGCACCGGGACAGCATCTGCGGCGGGCAAGGGCGGTGCTTGCACGCCCTCGGCGCGGAAGGGTTGCACGGGAACGGCGGTTGGCACAGGTGCCGACCGCCTGCGAGGGGCTGCGGGGGGCCAGGGGGCGGCGGCGCTGAAGGCCGCAGTGTGGTGGCGGCGGACCCACAGAACGCTGATGTTTTGCATCCACCACTCGGCGCTCGGTCGACTCCAGGATGAAGTCTTGGCTCAAGCTTTCGGCGCGGAACGGCGTCGAGCCCTGGCCCCTGACACACAGGAAGATCCAGCTGCTGGCGGCATGTCTCCGGGGATTAGGGTCTCCAGGGTTCCCCCATAGACCCGCTGTGGGTTACCAACGGGGGCTCCCGGCGGTATCCCTCCCGGAGGCGAGATCGCCCGGAAGAGCACCTAAGACCTACTTCGGGAGGGGGGGTAGCTCATAGGCCCTACGTGTACCAGCCGAGGTACTGAAGCGGAAAAGAAAGAAGTAGGAGGCGAGGAGAAGACAGGAGGGCCCCACCGGCGAAGGCCGGTGTGGGGCTCGTTCGGCCCCTCGTCTACACTTAAAGAAGAGAGGTTGAGCTGTAAGCCCTCCCGGCTTCCTTGAAGAAGGCAAGTGAGGCGACCAACGAGCGAAGCTCGCTCGGCACCAGCCACCTCAAAGGAAAAAGTGCAGTGTCCGCGTGCCGGGTGGTACGGCGGGGGCACGCGAACGTGTTCGGTTGTTAAAAAGTGTCTCTCTGTCTGACTCTCCCTCTCTCTCGCTCTCGCTCTCCCTTTCTCCCTCTCTCCTGGTCTATATTGTTGAGAGGGCACGAGCACACAAGAAAAGCCCTGCAAGCGAAGAACAAGAAGCACGATAAACCCTTTGGCAGCTCGCAGAGTGTCACAACCAATGCTATCTACCAGTTTTTTCCAACCCGGAAATCGCGAATCCTTAGAGCTCTAAACCCCCTCCGAGCGAGAGGCATTCAATTTCCAAACTGGCTGAGACAGAACCATGGTCCCGCCAAACATTGAAGTTATGAAAAGGTAGAGACATGGTATTGTAGTATGAACAAAGGAGCATGCAAGAACACAGGCAGTGATAACACCCTGATAATCAACATCAGCAGCATCATCGCGGTTGTCAAGATTACTAAAACCCTGATCACTATCACCACTCCCAACATCACCAGAACAGCATCATGACCACCCTGTTGGTGAAGCATTACAGTATGTCCGAAGGAGAGAGTCTCACGTCGCCAGCCGTCCAGATATGTTTGTGCATGCAGTTCGTATGAGCTTGCTTTCTGGGTGTTCAGGATTGCGGAGACCATGCAGCCGGCGCATGTCTTATCTGCCTCGCGATGCCTACTCATAGAGCTTCCGAAGTGGAACACAGCCCGGGATAGGGTGGTGCGGGAGAACTGCAATGTGAATTCTCCGATGCCACCGTCGGCGGACCGGCCCGAACCAAAACAGGAGCTGCAAAGCAAAGCAGGATAAATGTAGACGTGTGTCCCAAAGCAATACCGTGAATTTTGATCACATGAGTGATGCTGCCATGGATGGACTTGCAAAGTGCCAAGCTGCCTTGAGCGGCTTGGCACCGCGTCTCGCCCCAAACTGCACAGCAATCGCCAGCACCGTCTCCTTTGACGGCGTGGCTGATGTGCTCCAGAAGATTTACGTGAACGAGGGTGTGCGCCCAGCGCTTCAGCAGATGATTGAATCAGCCACCACATGTCCCTACTGTGGCAGAAAGGCTGAGTGCGTCGACTTGGAATGGCACGTTGATGTTGCCAAGCGGCGGATTTGGCCGAAGTCTTGCAGTGTAATCTGCAAGTATTGTGCAGATGTTCGTGATCTGCCCACTTTGGTCAAGAAGCTCTGCTTTGAGAAGGAGAGTGCTTTCTCGTCTCGGGCGCTTCGCCATTTCCTGGAAGTCAATAGCCTGGACGCGGCCAAGTCACATCTTTTTCAAGATGCGATCTCTGTAGCTCATGCCATGCTTGCGCTGCAGAAGGGACTTAAGCTGACTCCCAGCCGCGGACCACCTTTGCAGGAGCTGCTGAATATGAACTCTGTTCCTTCTCTACCATCTCAGGAGAAGATCAAAAAGATCAAGACCAAGAAAGCTGGACAGAAAAAGTGAGCGCTCTGAAGTGCACAGATTCTCAAGCTGTCACTGTCAAGCAACAGCAGCGCAGAGTTGCAAATGGCTTCTGCACCAGCGATGCCCTGAGGCCAGAGTTTCGCGTCCAGGCCACTCCCTGTGTGGTGGAAGTTTACTTGCATGATCAGATCAGCCGGATATGGGTGATATGGAGGGGAGCAGTTAAGATGCCCAGAAGACCTACTTCGGAGTCCTTTGCGGGTGCCAGGCGGTGAAAGCTTGTCCTGGCCAGCTTCAAGCAGCTCGAAACGGGAAGTGCCGCCTGGCACTCACTCTTTACGAAATCCAGACTTCTGCCCTCCTTTAGCAAGTGAGTTCAGCATCAAATCTGATATCCGAACGCTGTGGACACTAAGCCCCCCGTCTTTTCATGGTGAACTTAAGGTGCGGTACCGTGGAGGACACCAGTGCCAGTATCTCTGCAGTTGCGGTCATTCGTGTAATGCCAAGCCACTTCGACCACTTTCAGACAGCACACCACCGTGATGTCGTTCAGGCCTCGGTCCAGGGGGGCAGTGACATACTGTTGCAGCCCCTGGCTGAGAACAGCGAAGTTGTCAGAACTAAGAGAGCCTGCCCGGAATGCGCATCTGAAGCAGAGCTTTGACAAAGGCTGCCACGTGCAGCAACGGAGGCGTGGTCGCTGCTGCTAAAGTCGACTACCGGGACTACCGTGTGCCTACATAGTTTTGCGCAGATGACAACAGTCCAGTCATGGCAACGCTGTTATAGCCTCAACGAGAGCAATGGGAAGGCAAGGGAAGCAAAAGGACTGGGGCCATAAACAGCAGCAGTCCTGCCATGTCCTGCCAGCCCTGATGCTAATATGGTGTTAGTGCCATCTCAATGATTTTTATCAGGTGGCTTCGAATCTCGCTTTCTTCTTTTGTGCAAAAGCCATGTCACCCGAGAGCCCGGACCGCAGGCCCTTGAGACCCACCTCGAGGAGCTGACTGTGCGCACAGCGGCGCAAAGGCAGGGATCGCCCGAAGCAGCTCCACGCACGGCTTTAGCTCTGCTTAGCGCCCTGAATGAGCGTCAATACGCCAAGGATCACGCTCAACGCTGCGGGCCAGCTCCCGCCTCAGTCACATGTCATCGCAGTTCCATGAAACGGGGAGCATCCGAACAGGTTTGCACCTTCACTAGTCGTGCTTGAGACCTCCGTCTAGTCTTCGCACGAACGAGCTCGATTCCCCAAGCCACGATTTCCGAGTCTCTTCGTCGAGGGGGCCCAGGCATCAGAACAAGGCGGGGTGCCAAGAGCACCTGGCAGCAGAAATGGTTTTACCCTGCACTGGTACGTTTTGGCCCCGGCAGGGCAAGCAAGCATCCAGCTTGCATGCAAACACAGGCCCTAAAGCTTGAGCTCTAGAGACTCTAGAACCTAAACCCGAAACCTTGAGGGATAGCAAGTTGGATCCATCACCAGGAGCAAGCGAGTGGGATCTTGCGGTACCAATAGTCATCGCCGCAACCAGAGTCAGCCAACCGTCGTAGCAGTCTCACTTCAGATAAGCATCGTCATCACGCGCCCATGTTGCAGAGCAAGACGCTACTGTAGTTAGGGCAATGAATGCCGTTGCTAGAATACAGCGAACACTTCGCGCCTTGACTGGAAGAAGTAAATCCTTCCGGCTCAGAAACTGGACGCGCACTGTGAATTCTCAGCTTCCATGAGCGTGGCCTTGGTCTGTAGGCGTGAAGCACATCGTCCAAGAGATTCTGCAAGGCCTCTTGGAGGGTATGTTGCGAGTGCATCTCCGTCGGTATAGTATGATGCACTTGTTTCGCATAGTTCTGTCGATTCCTGAAGCTGCGGTTGAATGCTTCGGTCGGTAGCTTGGAAGTCGCCGTCTTTTCAGGCCCCGACGAGGCGAAGGCGAGCTCTTCAGCGGCTGATACGGGGACGGGGCCTTCTTTGAAATGAATCGCTAAGCTCCTCAGGTCGGAAGAGCGTCCAGAGATGTCGTCTACAGTCGGAAAGCGGTGCTGTTTGCGAGAACGCTTTTGCAGGCACTGCTGAACAATCCAAGACCGGTGCGAGGCTTAGCGCTTCAGCTCCACGATAAACAGGTAGTTGTGCGTCGCCGGGCAATATTCCTTTTGTCCGCTTCGTCCGACCGAGGCCACAGCAGCAAAGAAGAGGCTTCGTGGCAAGAGCTGTCTTCTGCATCGTCTTCATGCACGCGAGCTGCTGACTCGTCCGGTCAGGCGCCGGCGCCGGCGCCAAAACGATCAGCCGGACAGGGACTCGAGGGCTCAAGAGAGGGGGTGGCGCCCGGTTGTGCCTCTTGCGCCACGAGGCCGAAGAAAGCCCTCCATCGCCGCCGCCTGCACCACCAAGCCCCATAGCAGCTGAAGCAGGCTCCGCGACGGCTCTGACTCTCCCTTGAAGCTTTCCGAACCCGGCCCCTCTTCGAGCCCCGGCAGGCGAGGTCCGCGTCTTCATCGACGAGGCCTTGGCTCCAGTTCGAAGCCGAAATTGCCGAAGCCACCCCCGAAGCCTGTTTTCCAACGGGTTCTTGCTCTCTGATCCGAGGCGCCACGAGGCCAAGGAGGCTGAAACAAGAGTTGGAGCCTTTGACCCTCGCTTTGCAAATTTGCCCGTGACTCTTTTCCAGCATTGCCAAGCAAGCTGAGTACACGAGCCGGTCATGCAATTGCACCAGCTACCAGTCGGGTGAGGATAAGTGAAGTGGAGATCGCAAGATCAAGCTACACCTTACTTTAGTGTGGAAGTGTGTAAACGTGCACTTGCTGCCACATCTTCGGTGTTGGTCTTCACCTCCTTAAACGAGGAAGTGAGGGTAGAAGGTAGCAGGAGAGGGAGGCCAGGGAAACATGCGGGTTGCTCTGCCCGGCCTCATTGCTAACGGACAGGATGCACATGGATGCACGTGGATGGAGACGGCAGCTTCCCAATCCGTCTCGTACATGTGCATCCAGGTGTTTCGGGACACGACTGTGCACTGAATTGAGCCGGCCGGCAACAAACGGCAAGCTCTTGGACACTCGTGTCGGAGTCGGCGGATCGATGTCAGTGCATGAGAGTTGTCCCTCGAGATGCGCAGAGATCGAGTCCCGGCGGAGGACGCCGGGCAGCTGATCTGCTGCTCTGCTTTGAGCTTCTTTGGGCTCCAAAGTTGAGTGCCGAGGGCATGCCTCGCAGACTCACAGCCGCTGTGACGACGCAGAAAGGGCAGATCTCAAGAACGGCATGTTGCAAGGGCTGTCCTAGTCGTTCTATGTCGCTCTTACTTGTGTAGTGCGTTATGATTTATGCGGGTCACTTCATGCCAAAGCAAAAGTCCCTTGTAACGTGCTTTGTTTGCTCTCGTCGTTATCTTGTCGAGTACGTACTGTAGAGTTAGAGTATGATATAGTTATAGTGTATAGTGTTTGCAACGCATTGTTATCCGAGGGTTGGATTCTCTAAAGGCTCGCGTGCTGTTTCAACGTAATAAAAAGATTCGGCATGGCTCCAGCTTGGCGTATGTTGGCGTATGCAAGAACAAGAATCTCAATGAGCACGTCAAAAAGCTTACACTCCAACCGCAGCTCAGCTTCAGATGTCTGGAACTTCCGCTTAGCGGCGAACCGAAGCACAGGCACCACATCTGTTGCAAGCCCACCTGCATGTCACGACAAAAATCGTTGCAGCGTTTGCAACCACTCTGGGTGAGATCATGCCGCGCATCCCACGTGCAAGCCTTGCTGCGCGCCCAGAGGTAAGCCAAGTACCATGCAGCGAATGAAGAGCAGCTTCGGCTTTGTGCTGCCATTGTCATTGCCACTATGCAGCAGAGCACTGGTCACGGAAGAGCCGCAATGGCAGAACTCTAAAAACACCACAAGCAGTCGGATGGCAAGACCTCGAACAGCTCTTCCGATTCTTCGGAGCCAAGTGTGTAGCACATCCTGTTCATGTGGAAGTACCTTTTGCTTGAGACCAGCGGGTGTCTACTTGTACGGACTCTAGATTCATGCCTGCTTTCCTTTCTTTCTTGACTTGTTCGTACGCACTTACTCGCTGTCGGACAGACATTCGGTCCATGCTGCATTCCACGGCAGGACTTTCTGCCCCCTCCAAGTTTCGTGGCGAATCCAAGGTCCTGCGAAGTCTTGCTCTTGTCGGCGTTTGTGCTGCCTGGGACCGCCGTGAAGTCACTGTCGGGAAGTGCAGGGACCGAAGATGACCAATGGTATCCAATTCTGACACGGAGAAGTGCGGGAGTCCAGTACTGCAAGCCTTGTGACGTTGTGCTTGGACCAAGCATGACTTGCAACCGACAAGCCTCAGTGACGTTTTACCGGTGCAAACTTCGACCCTGGAGGACTTGGCATTGCGCCCGAGGCTCAGACGTTGGTGTCAGCACGGGTCAGGTTTGTCGGCACTCCGGTCATGTTGTGTGTCACCGAAGCGCGCGGCCAGAAGCGACGTGCTCACAGTTTGTGTCTGTGCCTGAACGCGCTGACGGATCAGGTTTTTCAGCTGGCTTCGTTGGCGGACGAGCACTGTCGGCGCCATTTGCCTGAAGTCAGCCTGACGTTTGTAGTTTTGCCGTTGGGCGCATGTCTGAAAGTGGAGTCATCTGTCAGAGGCGCTGCGAATTCAGATCTTATTCCCAGTGTTCCTTAGGCCTTAGGCATACGATGCAACTTCGGTAGGTGCAGGATGATCTCCACGGACATAGTTTGGTGCGATCGTTTGCAAGGCGGCTGGGAAGCTCGACGGACCAGGCTGCAGCGGGCAGGCGCGAGATCAGAGGTTTCGTGCGGGATTGCTCTGGCAAATTTCGGAATCGCCGAAGGCTCCGCATAGCGCGTCGGGCCAGATCCTCGGGCGCGCTGCGGCCCTGCAGTACTCCAACCACGTCCCATCTGAGATAAAAACATATGACGCCTTCGAGAATATGGGTGAGCCCATCGACGCGCAGAGCTGAGCCTGCGTGCAGCCTTCCAGTTAACAGCTCGTACGCGGTGTGCTATGGGTGGCACAAACCAGGTTTATTCCACTTTTTTCGGAGTTTCCGTCCTCATGTCCACAGCTTAGACTGATGTCATGTCTTGTTGAACAGCCTGAAGCGCCTTTGCCCTGCCAGGCTCGTTGTCCTCTTCGTAATTCCATTCGCAACAAAATTCGGACGAAGCGAGGAGGAGGCGAAGATGCAAACTGCAGTGCTCGCTTTGCTCGCTTTGCTCCTTCTGACCATGGAAGGCGGAGGATGAGGAGGCGGAGCTGCTGTACGAAGAAGTCGAAGATGAGGAGCGGCTGTTGGAGGAGGGAGTTGGCGGGAGTGCGTCGTGAATTTCACAGGAGGACCTCTTCGAGCCAGAAGAAGAGGAAGCAAGCCAGGACCTCTATTCAGGAAATTGTCATGCTAATTGGAATGAGTCGAGCATCATGCGACACATAAGTAGTCGTGTGTTGTGTGTCCTTAAGTCTTAGACATGATGCAATGTAGGAGGAAGGGACTGACGACAAAGTTGTCTCGAAAGCTGAGAAGGCCGGCATCGGCAGTGTTACCGAAAACGCCGGACCAGGCTGCAGTGCCGGTGCATCTGGCCGTTACTAGAACTCACATCAAATGAAGTTTTGTGAGATGCAGAGATGCTAGCAATGGTCGTCATGTGATATATCTGAAGTGTACTCGATTGACAGCATCTTGTAGGTTATTACCCCAGTAGGTGCTTTTCGTTTCATTGTTCAAGTCTGAGTACGGTAGCAGGAAAAGTCTGCCTTCATTTTGTTGCACCTGTGTGAGGATTAGCTGTGAAACCATTGCATTCGTGCACAAGCGGTGCCTATGAGCCCGTTGGAATGTGCCGGAAACAGTCTGGTCGGCTCTGCGCGGACCCAGCTTGCTGCCTCTAAACCTGCAGCGACCGTTGCGCTCAGGAGGCTAGCAATGCCAAGGTGTGAAGGCGGGGAGTCTGACGCTCTGACACTTCGCGAGCACGTTCGAGTCCCGCTTTGCCAGGCCTCGCCGGGGTTTCTGATCGGCAGACCTTGCTCCAGCGCGGAGAGAAAGCATGCGACCCCACAGCGCGACTGAAGCAGTGCAGGAATGTGATTCAACTCAAGTTTCTTGAACCAGATGTAGACGGGTGCTGCACATGGATTTGCATGCTGTCCCTGCCGAAGCATGAGTTCAAGCGGCTTCACAGTTTGGCGGGGTAGAGATGATTTGCATGTTTGAGTGTTCGTGGGCGCGATGATGCTTTGAGCTCAGCAACAACACCTCCCGCAAAACCAGCAGATGCTCTTTTGATGTTTCCATTTCTTCAGGTACTGGTCGGAAAGACACGGGCAGCTATTGCAAGGTGCCGTTTCTGAAGAGCGAGCATCTGGTTGCATTTCCGTCTTGATGTACACATCTGGTTGAAAACAGTTGGTACTTGTAGCTGATGGTCTTCACTATGCATGTTGCTGAGCAGGGCCACTTGAGAGGTGACATTGTGGTGGTGCTCTTCTTGAGCACGTCCATTCTCTTCTTCGTGGTGCACCATCTGCTTCCGGTTGAGGCTGCAAGTGTTCCTTGTTTGGACAACGCTCCGCCTTCAAACATAGCTCGGGTGCTCCGGCTGTCCAGGAGCCTCTGCTGCAAAGTGATGAGAAACTTGAAAATCTCGAGCGCCTGAAGAAGACACCAGGCAAAGCCAGGAGATGCTCCAGGGTTGTTTGTCATGCGGAATGCATTAGGGTACATGTGGGTGCATATCTTGGGCAGCACATGCCAGATGTCGCCCAGATCTATTGTGAGCAACCCTACGGCCCTACGGGGGCAAGACACAGACCGCTGGTTGAAGCCTTGATTGCCAGCACATGACACCTCAGCATGACAGGTCTGACAGAAAGGATTCGCATTTCGACCAGGGTGCAGAAAGCACAAACTATCGCCAAAAGAGCTGGCCTGCGTAGTTAGACGTCAATCAGCAGCAACATGGATGAATCCATTAACGAAAACAGTCCCCTCAGTCGGGACCGCGCAGGCTGGAACTTAAATGTCGTCACTGTGGGTTTCAGCTGGCCCCAGCATTGCTTGTCCTCGCGGTCGACAGCAGTGGATCACACGACAGCGAGAAACGATGCGGAGTGCACGGGTGCTGTGTACGATTGTGAGGCCCGAGAGCCCTGCCGTCCAGTTTAGACGAGCGTGTGATATATTCGCAGTGCGACTACGAAAGATGTGCGACGTATATTAGATTGAGCAAAAATTGCGGCCGTGCCTTCGCTTTTTCGGCATGGGATTTCTACCAGCACGGCCATGCTGCGAGCCGCATTACAGAACAGATCTGGTACCATGCCGTGTGCCCGTGCGCACGAGCCTGGATCCCGTACGTCTTGGACTGGACTCCCATGCAAATGCAACACATCAATGCAGCAACTTGTACTGTCAAGAGCCGTGTTTGTCATCACGGCACCTCGGCACCAGCCGCAGTTTGTAGTAGGAGGCCACATTTGAAAGTGTTTTAAGGGTGTAGATCCTGGGATCGCGGTCCATTGGCCAAGATCGCTCACACTGCTGATGTAATGATGACTGAGCCACAGCTTTAGCATCGTATCCGGCAGTGGATGCGCACTACTGCAAATGTTGGCAACCTTTCGAGATGGAAACTCGCACTTTGTGCATTCTTTGGTAAATGAAAAGTGCGCAGAGTGCGGGGACGGTTCAGAAGACACAAATTCGGAAATCGCTGCGACAGATTCAGAAGACAACACCAACCATCTTCTTCTAGGGCTTAGGGCTTGGGGTTTGCTGAGCGTTTTGTCAGTTTAGAGTTTCAGGTTTGCCAATCAACATCTTCCTGTTTTTGGGCGTGGAGGTTGCCGCCCACGTCTTGGTTTGGGGTTTGCGGGGTTGATCTTTTTTAGGGTTTGGGGTTTGTCACCCAGTGACGCTTGGGGTTTGTACCCGGCTTTGCCACCCAGGATCTTTGTCCGGGTTTGGGTTTGCACCCTTTGGGGTTCGGGTTTGCCAACTAAAGTTGTCTTGAAAGCTTAGGAGATTTGTTTTTTGCATGTCCCGTTAGGGTTTCCGATTTGCCCGCCAACATCTTCTTGCATAAATGTTTGGGATTTGGGGTGTTTGCACGCGGAGTCTCCTTTAAGGGTTTGGGTGCCAACCAATATCTTCTTCTTTTAGGTATGGTTTTTCTCAATCTGTTTCCCGAAAGAGTTGGCGTACCTATCTCTTTTGTTATCCGAGACTGTTTTCCTGAACTTCGGGTTGAATCTGCCCTTCTCATTTTGGAGTTCGTTTCCTAATCCTCACACTCGGCAGGCTTGAAGGGTTGCCTTTTGTAAATGTGCTGTTTTTGGTATATCCATGGGCTTGCAAACATGTTTGTAGAGGTGCAGCATGTTATCCCGGAACGCGATGCACGGCGTGTTCAGTTCCTGCTGGATGGGCTCTTTGCGTCAGGGGTAGAGTGTTTTGGTAAGCTCAGGGTGGACCTTGGAACAACCAACTGTATGAGGTCTTCGAGGACTTGCAAACACAAGAGGCTGCCACAGTTCGCAAGTGCGCTGGCACTGCTCATGGACTGTCGAAACAGTGCGGATGAACCAAAATCCGAAACGTACCAATTCATGCCAGGTGAGGTGCAGTGAAACCCTCAAGTACAAAGATACCGGGCACGGATTGGGTATTCATGGGCAATCAGTGGGGTTGCTGTTTCAACCGTTGCAATACTTGATGTCTTCCATCCCCGCCGCTGCCCGACCAAGCTTTCTTAGAGCAGGCGGGCCCGCAGGTGGAAAGAATGCATTCGGGGGCTGCGGAATGTATCCTGGAGGGGGGTCCATGCGTGGGTGTATAGGCACTTTGATGTTGGAGGGTTGAGTCTTGTTTGCATTAGCTTCGTATTTATGGTTGTGGAAGTGCATGTTTTTGCTGTACGCTACTGTCGCCGATGACGGCTTCCATGACGAGGCATGACGAGGTTGTTCTGGAGATCCATGGACATATCGTCAGCGTTTGCAAGCATTTGCCGACCGCTAGGGGTCAGATGTTATTACGACCGCCCCCAGGGGTCCTTTCGGGGCCAGTTTGGCGACCCTTTCCCCCCTCCAAGCCTACGACGGCAGCAGTCCCGCAGTGGAGGCAAAAGACGCGTGCCTTCTACAAGACTTGTTGTATAAGGTTCGCGGCTCGCATCTTTTGAGCATCTTTTCTGGACTACCAACCCCGAAAACGAAGAGCGTCTCCGACCCTTTTCCGGATACATTCCATTTCCGTTAAGGAAAACCTATGAGTCAATGTATCCTGGGGGAGCGGCCCCCAAAAACACTACTAGGACCCCCTGTTTTCTTAGGTTCGCAGGCGGGTTCGTAAGCTGACGCATGGCTGACGGCTTTACCTTGCGAGCCAGTGCGTTCATTGGCACCTGTGGAGATACAAGTCGCCTCGTTGCGGGGGCTGCGACTCCTGTTTGCCTTGACGCAATCCGGTTGCGATGGCAGGGATATGCAGGGATCAACACTCGCGTGCCCGAACGGATGTACTGACATCCCCGATGCTGCTGCTGATGAGGCCACCTGGGCCCGCGCCAGGCACCGGCTTGTGCCAATGTGCGACGGTCTCCCGAGCGCGAGGCGTTCTAACATCCACAGCGGTCGCACCGTGCACGGACGAGACATGACAAGACTTTCACCACACGGCGCCGGCGCACCAGCAACACGTGCCTGCAGACCTCAACTTTCAGCCCGACCCGCCGGTGGTGCTCACCGACGGCGTCGTCGCTCACGCTCTGCGGACTGCCAGGCGTGGCACCGCTGCTGGGCTGTCGGGCGCCGCGTGATAGCAGCTGTTAGCAGCACTACAAGCATCTACAAGCTGCTTGACAATGCCAATGCACTCAAGCGGTCTGAGTTCGCTGCGAACTTCCCCCGCCGCAGGGGTGCCTGCACACATCGCTGCCGCCTTGAGCCTCTCTCGATTCACCGCGCTCCGCAAGTCCGGCGGCGGAGTGCTCGGCAACACTTTCCAGCGTCTAGTGTCGTGCTGTGTGCTGTGTTGCAAAGACCAGGACGTTCGCTGTATCTTTTGATGAAGCGACCCGTTTGCACCGGTTCGCGTGCCTGGCCATGTGCTTCTTGGTGAGATGCTATACAGGCCAGCGACGCACCATCCGTCAGGGCGAAGGCTGCGAACAAGGGGATGCCTTGACTTGGGCCCTGCGCTTGTGATGCGCTTGGCTAGAAGACACTCAGCTGCGCCCCGGCGAGTGCTTGGCGGCTTTTCTTGACGACGTTTACCTCGTCTGCTGTGCGGTTGGTGCGTGGCGCGCCTGCGGCTGCACGGGCTTCCCCCAACAAGGCGTCATGAGGCGTTCCGTCGTCAACCGAGGAAGTCGCCCGTGTGCTGCAGAAAAAAGCTTCGTGTCCGACCGTGCCCGTTTCGAAAGCGCGGAGGAGCAAATTCCCATGCGCGGGTTTGCTGGGGGGCCGTGCCGCGTGTGTTCGCTTCTCGAAATCTTCGATGTCTTCGCAAAGCGAAGGCGAACGCCTTGTCGCACGATTCGCACGCTAGCTCGCAAGAGGCCAGTGCATTGCGCCGAATTCGGCAGCGAGGTCAACAGCATCGAGGCTGGACCACGCAGGAGCCGGGATCTTCGCGATTGCTGAGTTGCTTGCACCTGCTTGCGAAGCTCCGGCAGGGCGGTTGGAGGAGGAGCTTCGTCGAGGCAGTCGTCAGGCTGGGGCCCCTTGCACACCTGTCAATGGAACCCGTGGTTGCGAGGTGTTTCGTCGGCCCCTTTGCACGCCTGTCAATGGAACCCGTGGTTGCGAGGTGCTTCCACATGGTGTCGATGCGTGAGGCACGGCTTGCGGAACAGGCCGGGCAGGTAGGAGTTGTGCCAGGCAGGGGCGCAGGGTTCGGTAGCACGCCTGGCGTATAGCGCATCGACATCCTTCTCGACGGGACGCTGAGGCTGAGGACAGGGTATTGGGGAATTTGCATCGGCAGCGTCAACCTCGGCCCGACGATGGATCTACGTGACCCATGAAGGGAAATCCGAAAAGATGAAAAAGCTTCGCTGCCCGACAAAAGTTTGAAAGAAAAATACCCATGTGATGCACCGGACGCAGTGGTTGTATCCCTCGACTGCGCAGGTTTCCTAAAGGAGGCCGCGCCAGGTTACCCCAGAGTTGCTTCAATTTGATGAGCCGTCTCGTTCCAAGAACATGCCTTTCTGTTTTCGTAAGGCTTGCCCGGTTGAGTTGCTCGCTCGCTCCAGTGGTCGCTGTGCGGGTCTGCTCGGGCATCCTCGAAACGCAGTCCGCTCTTGATCTCCCTCAGGTGGGCGTATGGCTTCCAGGGGCATGCGTGGGCACTTACCTCGCTTCGTGCCTATTGAGTTTTGGAGCCCCCAGCAAGCAAGAGTTCTGGAACAATCGTCAATCCGGTCAGAATGTACAGGTGAAAATTATTAACAGCTCATAGCATTACCATTCAACGGAGCATGAGGCTCCAGGTGCGAGGCTGTAGAACTTTGATACTGCCATACATTGGACATGAAAGTGATGCGCGGAAATATCGCAGCAAGTGTGCGCCGTTGATCCGACGAGGAATGTGCAAATTCTCGCTCAACAGGCGGAATACCGCCCATCCAGATGTGCCACCGATGCCCCTAAGAGGGGGCAGTTTTGTGAAGCAT